AGAAGTGGATGGAGGGCGCCACATATTCTTAGCTCTCAGTTTTATATTCCGACTAACGATTTCACTGTTTGTAAATCCAAACGATAACCTATGATAAACCATAATCTTATCCACAACATGTACTTGATATTAATTGATTTTTAATATTGTAGATTGTAGATTTGTAGATTTCAAGGGAACCGAGTGGGGCAGGAGTAACCCCTCAAGCTACCGAAGTTATTCTTGACTTATTGTAGCCTCCCCACCTTCCCACCTATAATATCCCCGTCCCAACCACAAAGCCGGAGATATCCCTAAGGGAGTTGGACAACAGTTCCCGAACACTTAGGGACAAATGTCCAAGACAATTGCGGCGCCGAACAGTCAGTGCCGGACAGTCGCAGAGAATGTGCACGGTGATCTCATCACCGTCCCCACAAAATCTGCACAGGGGAGCCCGACTTCCCCAGAATATGCAAGTGGTACTGCACTGGGTATTGCCCGTGAAGAAACTCGCAATAGTGCGAACCCGGCTCCTGTTTATCCCCAGCGACTCTGCAGTGAATCCGCTGGAGCACGCCGAAAAAAACAACTTCGCATGACGGCACCCTTTCGTGTCCCGCAAGTGAAGACCGCACTCCGCCGCGAGCTGTCAGGCAAGCTTGGTCCTCACGGCGGAAGAAGGCAGACCGCAGAAAAGCAGCGGCTGCCCAAAGTCAGCCCCAGATTCCCTCCGTGCCAGCTCATCGGCAACCTCGTTGAATGAGCGTGACTCTGTTCTCCGATGCCAATTCCACAAGTGCAGCAAGGCAGCTCCAGGCCAGCTTGGATGTAATCTAAATGAAGCGCCAACAGTGCAGCCCTGCTGTCCGAGAACACATAGGTGGTGCGGTTTCTATACCCCCTTTCTAAATAGATTCTCAGACAGATCTCTATTGCATGTATTTCGGCTTGGAACACTGTGCAATACGGATCAAGGGTTGCATATATACGCGTGTCCGGGCGGACACCGTATACACCCAAACCCACACCCGACTCCGTCTTGGACCCGTCTGCATACCACACGCTCGAACCCGACTCAAGTACCGGGCCACCCCAATCCCACGTCCATCGATCGGGAAACAGAACCCTGTAAAAGTTGTACCGCGGCAGATAGGCACTCGACATGGTTATTCTTAGAATCGGATCGCTCTCAATGAAGTTTCTGTGAGTCCTGTCGGCCAACTTCGATCCCGCCCTGTCCTCGCCAGAGAGAAGTCGGTAAGTCACTAGCCGAGCTTCCTTCAATATATGGAAGTGCAGTGGCGGCAACCCGATCATCACATGAAATCTAACGAGGATTTTGAAGTTTGTTAATATTCTAATACTCTTTCATACTTCATTCCATTACTTTGAAAATAAATTTTTCAAGTACATCTTCCAAAAAATGCCTTAAAAATCATTGTTATTGGACAAAGGGATAGAACAAACATTTGCTGTAAAATATCGTGGCTTAATTAATTGCAATGAATAAAAAAAACCACAGCGGACAGGTAAAAATTTAACAAACACAAAAAATTGAAGGTATTTTTTTTTTTTTCAATTTTTTCAACTATGCTTCAACTTTTTTTTATAAAGAGAGTTATTCCTGGTAAACAAACACACATAATGTATAGATGAATATAGATGTATGTATTCATATAAAAGTAAATTACGGAAAAAAAAAAGAATTTTAAAAGGATAAAATTTTAACAATTTTAATTTGACTGTATGGATTTATAAAAATCTTTAAGTGACGGGTTGAGATGAAATTTCAAGTTTTTAAATTTTTCATCCATGGATTAAATGTGAGAAATTTTGCGTTTTAAATGTGAAAAATATTTCAATGAGAAAGCTCTAACAGAATGAAATGAATTGGGTGATTTGGAATGGATAATTGTTAAAAATTGAGATCAAAATGCGTTTCCTTCCTGCTACCGATTTGAAAAATTCCATCGAAGCTATGGTACTTTCGACGAAAGTATATAACTTTTCCAGCGCAATATTGCGTATGCAACACTTATAGGATTTTCATTCAAAGATTCTCTTCTACTGTAAATGAGAAAATACATTACAGTCGCCCGTATTTTCTTTGGGGAACCTACAAGACCCATCAAATTGCAAAATTCTTACCAATATCAAAAATTGTTTAAACACATAAGTCGATTCTTCTTATTCATTCTCACCAGATAATTTCAATGAAATTTAAATATAGTAGAATTTAAATACCACACTTTTTAGTAATCCTTTTCACTTCAAATACATTTCTGACTAGTTTGCGGTTTAAAAATTAGTTCATTATCTTTACTTTATAATTCTATGCACAGACTCCAATAATAATAATTGGTTCTGATTAATTTGCCTATTGTTAAATACTTTCGAGGCGAATCTATTAATTCATTTTCTTTTATTGCAACAGTCAACACAATCAAGTAATTTTTAAATCCGATACATGGATCGTTTAGTGTGAAAGCTGTACATTTCCCAAGTTATTATAAATAGGGCATTGACGTATTAATAAAATTATTAAAAAACTAAGAACTTTAAAATTCCAAGTGAACTTCAGTCTATTAAAATATTATTTTCGAAATTTGCACGAAAAGCCGAAATTCATATGAGTTCCTTTAAAATCCTGAATTCATTAAATATGCTAAAAAATACAATAAATTATAAATAAATTTTATTAATACTTGATAACTATCAACTAATGATCTGTAAAACATATAATAAATTTAAAAATAATAATAAAATCTGCTACCTGTTACATTAGAAATTGAAAAAATTTACAATCCCAGTGCTGATTGTTTCACATACCCAAATGTACTTTATGAAATTTTATTGTTTCACAATCATAACCTTAACAATAGTTGACTGCACATTTCGAAAATATTTAGGCTAAATAAATACTCAAATCGTATTTATGGAGCTTAAAATTTTGAACCAATTTAAAGGTATTTATATTCTAAACATTTTCTTGATGATTTGATCTATTCATGAATTTTAGATGACATTTAGAAGAACAACAGTTTTTGATAATATTCGTAAAAATTCTCGTAAATTTCTCTAAAGATTTTATGCAAAACAATTAAATCCAATTGCACTGTTAAAATAAAACTGTTAATGTAATTAATTGCATTCTGTTAAAAAATTTTTTACATAATTTGAGCTTATACAAATATTATAATGTAATGTTTACGATAGCAGCCTACTTAAATCGATAACAGTTTACATATAAAAATTGAGAAATGATTTTTCATTTAACAGAAATTCTTATATAGCATTAATGTTAAAATTATATTATATTACATGAAGTTAAAAATTAAGAACGAATAACAGAAATATCTGTTATATGTAAATTTTACGTAAACCAATTTACATTTCGTAGATATAGGTTTGATTTAGAATAAAAGACAAAATAATTTTCAGGACACGTGCATGTAATCGAAGAAGAAAAAGAAATAATAAAAAATTTTTCTCTTTCATTCGAAATAAAATTGCACAATTACAAAATTTACTCTTATAAAATTATTTAAATAATTTCCCGAGTACCAACAAGGATAATTTCTCGTTTTTTGTTCTTTTATTTTTTAAGTATCTGTAAAATTGGAATTCGCGATGACGACGAATACGCCGAAGGAACTCGAAGTATGCTTTTAATTTCTTTTAAGTAATTCGTCATAAATTTGTTTGTTTGCTTGTTTTTTTTTTTGTTTTAGTTTTTTATTATTCTTATGGTTTTTGGCTCTTGTTAATTTTAGTGAGCTCGCCACAATTTCATTTCTTTCATAATATTCAGTTTCTCTTATTTTTCTCCCTTTATAAAAAAATGTTTAACCTCGGAATGATGAAGTTTTGTAGATGCAATTTTAATCCTTTTTTTTTGTTTTATTATTTTTTGTTTTATTTTATTTCTATTAAAAATTTTTACTTTTTATTTCTTTATAATTGTTTTGTTATTATTGTGTTGCAATACTTATTTCCTTGCAACTACATGCGCAGTTAAAATCTAGTTTAGTAGTAGTAATCCTGTATGTTGTTAATCACCACCCACCACCATTAAGTTTCTGTTTATATTTTACTTTTGTAATTGTATTGGTGTAAAAAACAAAGTACTTATGTTGTGCATTACGGGGGGAGTATCTGTTTATGTAAAAAACTTATAAAATTCTCTCCACCCATTCAAAAGTATTTTTTTTTTTTTAAAAGATTTATAAAGAAAATAAAAACAACATGATATACGCATATTTTTCATTTCAAGGATAATATCCTTATTTGAAAATTTATTTTGAAAAGCATCAAAATTGCATGTAGGTATAATTGGAGTGATTTTTTGTTTTTATTTTTTACTTTTTTCTTGTATACCAGTACCATGTAGAATATTTACATTATTTTGATGGAAAAATTTTTACGTTTGCTACATGATAGAAAATTGAGCATAAAATCCTATATCCTGTATAAGGATGGTAAAAATAAAAATTGCATAATTTTGTTCTAGAAATTTCCAATTGGGTTTTTTTTGTTCATTTCCTTTTCATATAGCAATGTAAAACGCTTTACAGGATGCAATCTGTTAAAACTTCTTTTTAAAGTTTAAACTTTATTTTCATTTTTAACAGGATGTAAAATTTACATTATAAGAGAAATATTACTTTATAAGAGAATTTATAATTTGTTGAAAAAATTTAAGAGAATTATTGTTTTTTTTTTTTTAAATTCTCTTTTATTGTAAATTTAATTTTATAAATTCCCTTTGAAATGTTAATAATAGTTTTGACAGTGTTTCTATGAAAATATATTTTATGAATCTGAATATGTTTATTAAGTAATATTTTATTATTTTAAAATAATGACGAATGTTATTCGGTGCACGAGTCTTAATTTATGATCTCTCTGAAAAGAAAAGAAAAATAAATAATTATTTGTTTTTCAGTATTAAAAAAGTAGTGATTATATAAAAAAATTTTTGTTAAATATTTTTTTAATTAAAATTAAAGTAAAAAATTATTTTAAAAGTTTGTTTTGTAATGAAAACAATTAATTTATTGCAAAAATTGAGTTTAATTATGTAATAATAAATTGCATTGTGTATGTGTGTGAAGAATTGCATTTTGTGATTCAATTGCATTGAATGAACAGTTTTTCTTGAAGACAATTTGAATTTGGTACTGGAAATTTGAGGTAATTATTATTTGGAAATTAATTGTCTTATTAAAATTAATGAATTAAAATTTAAACTTAAATTTTATAACATAAGCAATTTTAAAACTCGCACTTAATAATATGATTTACAAAGCGGTTTAATAAGGCCAATTCTACTTCTTTCTAAATTCTTGTAATTAATATTATGGAGCAGTAAACATCAGTAAATACAGAAGAGATTTTCTGTGTCCAAATTTTAATTAATTACATTAAATAAATAGCTTTTAATTCAAAACACATATATAGGGTAAATTGTGCATTAATAATGTTAAATGATTGTGTTGGACTCATGGATGCCATTCCACTTATATAACACCCAAAAATAAACTGATCAGAAATAAAAACATATTTATATAAATATTCTTGCTCCTTATCGAATTCGGAGTCGATTTCACAATGTCTGTCCGTTCGCCCCTCTCTGCAATATCCCAAAGGCAAGATTCTTATAAATTATTTGTAATTTTAAGTATTAGAACAAAATCTTTATCATTTACATACGATATTAGCTCCCATACAAAGACTGCAATATTTAATTTATGCATAAGCCAGTAGAGTAATAGAGTCAAATATTGTTAAAAAAGAAATTCGAAAATTAAGTTAGTACGCATATATTCCGCCAACTTTTAAAATTATTAAAACATTTGCAAGATAAAAATTAAGGCTATAATTCTCTAATTATATCCGAACTATATTAAAACAAGTAAAAACGTTTCAGTCGGTATAAACCCATCGAATTATATCTTACACCTTTCATTGTTAAATATTATATCTTGCACCTATCAAACCACTCTATAGAAACTTCGCGGATATGTCTGACCTATAATTGGACACAGAACTGACAAGTTTTTTTGAAATCTGGATTTATTATTTTTCCAGATATTTAAATTAGCTTCTGTACTTGTATGGCAGCTACCCGAACTTGTCAAGCAGTTTCACTAAAACTTCAGGAATATATCTGACCTATAATTGGACACACTGCCAAGTTTTGTGAATTTAGATTTATTATTTTTCCAAATATTTAAAATTAGCTTTTGGAATTGTATGGCAGCCAGCCGAACCAGTGCAGCTATCCTATTAAAATTATAAAGCATGTATGTAGAATGTAATTGGATACGCGTATACAAAATTTTATATTTATTCCTTTATTAGTTTTTGAAATATTTAAAATAAACTCTTTGAGTTGTACGACAGGTATACTCGAACCCGTTGTCCGAAATAGTTCCAATATAGGGTTCGACCTTAGTACAAAAGAAATCACTTGTGAAAGTATGTGTTCGATTGCATTGTTCGTTAATTCGAACGGACGGGCATGTCTAAATCAACCCAGAATTTTACGCTAAGCAAGGACATATACACATGTCCACATCGCAGATGGTTTCTTCAATTGCTTACTTGAAGGAGCCATCAAATATACCATACAAATTCCATACCAAAGTGAATATACTCATCAGGAAGGTGCAGGATATAAAAAAAGTTAGCAAAGGAAACAATACTTAATGGAAGTTGACGTTGAAACCTCTTAATGTTATTCAGTTATTTTCGAGCGTTGACAAAAATATATACAAAATTATATTGCAAATCGTAAATAAATTTATATTGAGAATATTTCCCTTACTTCCAATGCGTTTTGCTTAATTTCATTAATTTTACTTAAGGTTGTATCACAATCCTGAATTTGACTTAGCTCTAAAATTTATACCACATTATTCTGGTTCAAAATTTTCAATTTCGTATTTTCTAATTGTAGTCTATAAGCTTCTAAAAAACTCACGACATAAATAAGAAATAAAAAAATAATCTGAGAAATATTTTAAAATTCTACAGATATAAATTAAATAATGTATTCAGCAAAAATTTTCTTTCTTAAACTTTTCTCATCATCAAGCCTAATTCATAGTATGCATGTGCAAAAATATTAAATTCACATTGGTTCTTATTAAAATTTTGTATAAATGTTCGTAATCGTTAACATAAAACATGTAAAATTACTTTATTTCGAAAATAATAACATAACATTTAACAGATTTTAATGTTATAATGAAAATTATTGTAAACTTTATAATATAAAATGAAAAAGAATAGGAAATTTTTGATTTCTCTTAAAATTTTTGTTGTGCATTATTTTTGCACTTTAAATAAAATATATGAAAAGGACTTTTGAATAAATTTTTTGCGTTCTCATTTCGCATATTGTAAAAAACGCAATATGTGTAGGTACTTTAGTACAATAATATATTTTTTTTATTGTATTTATAAAATGCATAACAACCCAAACTATGTGCAATAAGTTACAGTATAAAAGGACTTTAAAGATTTCTAAATCCGTTATGATTATTGTGATTTTTGTTTGATCTTTTTTCTATTTGTCATTATTATTCTTATCCTTTTTATTGTTTTGGTTTCTATTTAAAATGATTTTTTTAACCCGTCTAACATTTATTAAAATTTGTTTTATAAAATTCAAATTATATTTCTTCAATATTATTTTTCGGAATATGTTTGTGTTCATGAAAAATCACGTCAGAAAAAGTCATTTCAAAAATCACTTCCTTCTCAAAATTTCCTAATTTTTACCAATTATATATAGGTCAAACTAAAGATAATTATGCAAAATATTTCCAAAAAATTCGAATGATTTCCAATTTTCTTTCTCAATTTCTAATCCAAAAAATAATCCAATAATTGCAATATTTTATTGATATCAGAAAAATTCAAATACAAACTTATCGAATCTCAATAAAATGGTTGAAAAAAACCAGACATAAAGTTTAAAATTGTTATACAGGTTAGACTGTTTTTTAAATATTTCCGTTTTAAATGCTTGTCATTCTCTTTTTAACATTTTGATTGCTGCTTAGAAGGCATGATATAATATTGTGTACATACTACATTTACACGTACACATGAGAAAAATATAAACTAGTTCAAAAATGTAAAAAATTTTAAAGGAAGAATACATATAAATACATCAACAGAGAGCTTATACCATAATAATAATAATATTCCTATGCATACACGATAAACTGCTGCTTTTATACCATTTGAAAACTAAAGAACACAAAACAAAAACAAAAAATACTTTCATAACAGTAAAGGTTTTCCATGTGCGTTATAAATATACACACAATAATTATTATTGAGTATGGTCCGTAATAATATTTACGGATATGCTAGACGATTAAGGATTTTTAAAAAAAATTCAATCTCTCACAAATACATTCACACATTTTCATTATAAAATTTTATACATGTGTAAAAAAAAAAACGATGCAATTTTTACAGGAAAGAAAATAAAAAAGGTATCCATATTTTGGGTACAACATACTAACTAAAAAAAACAAAAATGTGTCAGAGTGCATAACAGTTTTGTATACAAAAGTACATATTGTGTTTGTGTATGTGTGTGCATGTATATTAACTGGCATGCATTTCTATGCAAAAGAAATAATATTACATGGATTTTGTACATGTACATGGAATATTGGTAATATGAGTATAAAAATAGATTGAGTAAAATATATAGAGAGAAAGAGAGAAATATTTATTTATAGAGCGTAATGGAAAATGGAGAGAGAAAATAATAATAATAAAAAAAAAAGCATTTGGCTACTGTTATATTGCACATATTATAGAAAAACGTAAAATAAATAGAAAAGAAGAAAAAGGAGCAAACAAAAAAAAAAATGTTTTCATGTAGATATTTTGCATTTATATACCAGGAAGAAATTATAGAAAAGGCAGTTAAAGTTAAAATAAATTTCAATTTTTTTTCCTATATTATTTTGTACATTACATGTATGTATAATTTTTGCAATGTTATGTAAAGCCAGTACATTTCTCTTTTTATATGTATATGTAATTGAAAAGGTAAGGAATATTCTGTACTATGGTAAATAAGTTGAGAATTGCAATATTTCATTTAACAGAGTATATAAACAGATTATATAAAGGGTTTAACAACAATCAAAAGAAGAAGCAAAAAAATTTAAAACAAAATAAGAAAAATATTTTTGCTGCTGAGAAAAAGTAAAATCAGAAGAATATAAAATCCAAAGAAAATGAACTTAGAATTTTTCGTTATGCAAGGATATATGTGTACATACAGGCATACATATATATAAATTTATGCAAAATAACATGGAAATTATTATGAAAAGGGAACTAAAAATATTGATGTAGTCCTCCTGTTAGCTCCTATATTTGTTATATAGCCTTTACTCGTCATTTGCAGTCTGACTTTAATATAAAATTTTTTGTTTTGTCTTTTTCTGTTATATACATATACATACACATAATATAATGTTCTTACTTTTAGTTGTTATTTTGCATTTTGCAATATTTTATTTTTCTCTTTCTGTTTTTGTTTTATTTTAAAATTTAATACTGTAATATATTTGGATGTAGAAGTTAGATGAATATTATTTATAAAAAAGGATAACATATTCTAGTTTGGTTTATGTTATCTTTTTTTATAAAATATTTATATATATATGTATATATGTGTGTAAACATGCAAAATACAGTATTATGTATGAATGTATTTAATGTACATATGCATTTGTACCTATATTGTATATATTATTTTTATATATAATGTAAAACAAAAAAAAAATTTATATTTGAAATTGGTAAAGTTGGAATATATTTAAATGTACATATGTAATGTATATTATATAGGTGGGTGTATAAAGTTATTAAATGTACTTTATAAGCGTTATACTACATAATATACTTTTAACAGGCGAAAACAGCAAAAAAAAAGAAAGCATTCAGTAGCTGGAATAGCAGAGGCAGCGGGTAGAAAATGGAAATTTCTTGTTATTTTTATATGATTTTTTATGATTTTGTTTTGTTCAATTTTCCATATTATAACAAGAATTTTATTATTATATTCTGATATTTTTTTTTTTGTTTTCTTCTGCTTCTTTTTTTTTATATATGAAATGCACATATAAGCTAACAATTCTATTTTGTATTTT